GTGCTCTTTATTTGTTATCAACACAACTTTGCAGTCAGCTTATTCGCATGCAACGCATTCTTATAACTTATTTACTTTTAGAAGGTGCTAAGCTTCAAACTCATTTCAAATAACTCATCAAATATGCTCTAAAATAATCCTCCAGGTTTTCGTTGAATATGAAACTTTAGAATAATTTCATCATAACCGATGTTCTTTAGCACAAACGAAATAATATAAATCCACTTGCTCAGTATGAGTCGTTAGCAAGTTAAATGAACAAAAGATCACGAAAAAGCTGGAGATATTTTTACAGTCTCTCCTAAAGGTGCATTACCAGATGCATTGGTTGTGCGCAGATAAAGTAGAAATGAAGATAATTACTATATTGTCATTCAGAGATATGTCACCAATGAGATAAGGTCAGAATACCTACTCATTTAAGTATTGGCTTCTTCAGCTACGATTATTTCAATATCGTTTTATTTACATTTACAACGCGGAGAATTAATATTATTATGATTATGATTATTATTATTATTAGTCTCTTGGGTTCCTAATGGAACATAGTGATTCAGTAGCACGTCTCTATTCCACTCTCTTCTCTCAAATCTTTCGAACCTGGTTCCACGACAGCCCACAACCTCTCATTTCTTCTTCGCACGATCTCCTTCGTGTCACCCTCGACTTAGACGCCCAACTCGCCATTTCCCATCTGGCTTCCACTCGAGCGACTGGCCTGACGAGTGATGTCCTCAGTCGGCCTTCTCAGTGTATGCCCAATCCAATCCATCTCCACTTCCTTCTACTGCATATTTGTTGAGTGGTAGGTTGTTGGTTGGTTAGTTCCCAGAGGTCCTTGTTGCTTAATCTTTCTGGCAATCCATCTGAGCTTCAGTAGCGAGCCAGCGTAAGAAGTTGTTGATGAATGTCTGTAGTTTATTGGGAATCCCTTTCGTAACACACCAAGTCTCTGAACCATACACAAGCACTGACTTGACTGATATTAGTGTTGAAAATCCGGATCTTGTTCAACATGCTGAGTTGAGTGCAGAAGATCTCCACACTGGTTTCAGGCTAATGAACACCTGTCTTGCTCTATTTCCTATCCTGGCTGTTTTGACATCCTCGTCTGTGCCACCACCACCTGTAGTTGAAACAGTGCTACCCTGCCTAGATAGGTGAAGGAGGTTACTTCTTTTAAGTTTCTCCCGTTGATGGTGACTAGAGTTTGTCGTTGTTGGTGTTGTTGGTTGGGTATCTTCATCACCTGTGTCTTCTCTATATTCACTTGAAGTCCCATCTTCGCTGTCTCTTCTGTCAACTTATTAGTTTTCGCCTGTAGATCTTCAAGTTTGTGTGACATCAGACACAAGTCATCACTGGCGAAATCCAAGTCTTCTAGGTTCTTTTCCGTCGTCCAGCCATTGTATCCCCCTCTTCTCGCTCCTCACTGTTTTCTGTTGCATGATCCAGTCCACTAGACCACAATCAGGAATATCATGGGGGATAGTAGGCAACCTTGTTTCACTCCTGTCTTCACTTCAAAAGCATCACTGAGCTTCCCATTGTGAATTACTTGGCTGGCATGTGGCATCTTCATATAGTTGTTGAATGAGGCTGATAAAGGTTCGCGGTATTCCGTAGTAATGAAGCAGTTTCGAAATTAACTCTCGGTCAACGCTGCTGAAGGCCTTCTCAAAGTCGATAAATGGTGTGAATACCCCTATTTTGTACTTATCTGTTGATCGACACATAAAAGTATCGGGTTCTGATCAAAAAATGTTACTAAAAGTATCACAACTTGGTACATTTGCGTTTCAGAATGTTATGAAAAGTGAAGACATTATCAACAAATTATCTCCCTGGTGCCAAACATCTAATCACTCTAGATTCAAAGCATCAAAATAACTGTTCACTTCGAGTCATAAACACACAAGTGCTCACTGATAAAAATATGTTTTCAGTCTGAATAAAGACAGAAAAAAACCAACACACAGACTGTCTGCTATAAGAATATCAGTAGTATATCGACACAACCATTAGTAATATAAACGTTGTGACCATTTTATTCACTCACGAGAAAGTAAGAAATTCTGTAAAAGGATATTTGCACAGTATTTCTTGAAATGCTGTTTATCGTAGTTATCTGTATCGATATACACCTACCTATGTTGGCAACCAGATTCAATATAGGCATGTCTATAATAGTAAATTGAAGTGACCTGAACATACCTTATAATTATATTCTTTAATCAAAATGGGGCCAAGAAGGTGAGACTGAAAAACAAAGCAAACTGTGCGGCGTTATTCAGTATCAAAAGGGAATGTTTATAAATCCTATACAACAATTCATTGTATGACTTTTAAGTTTATGCTTGTGCCGCTCCTATTATCACTGCCATTAAAACCATTGTTATTATCATTGCTGCTTCTATATACCTTAAATACTCTTCATTTTACTCAAATATTTTACGTGATTAAATGATCACCGATTCACGTATGCAGTGCTTTTTGATCTCTTCGATTACAGTTTATTGTCCCTCTATGTTAACTACACCATTGTAGTACTCTTGATCAGTAAATAGTTGTATATGCAGAGATTGTGATTGGAATGAATGTGATGTGTAGACGGATTTCAGTATTCATATGACTCCTAGTTTTTTCAGCGGGATTCATCCAATGAACCAACATACGTGTACATCTAAATGTTCAATAATCTGAGAATGTTTCATTTGATCATAGATGGGACATTTTTATTGATATGTTGGATGAGTTGGATAGAGGTTTCACTTTATTTGATTGAGGTGGTGGAGTGGGGGAAGACTGACTGCATCAGTCCTGGTTAGTACATGGTTAACAATTGTAATAATGATCGAACTATATTTAAGAATTTGTTTTACAACTTTACCAAGCTTAAGTGGATACTTTAGAGGTATTCTAAATTTACCACTGCCAATATTAAAGTTAAGCAAACCTAAATTGCTTGAATCAGAAATGAATACACTTTCGAAATGAAGTTATTTACTTATCGAATATTGAAACGTTCTGACTCTATCTTACTTGTTTGTTCAAGTGAAATACATTGAAACTTACTACTTATCACATTCAAACCTCTAGAATTAATACTTGCATATATAATTATACTGTAATTATATCACTTACCCGGTCGATAGCTGCTACCTTTACATGTTACTTGGGATGCATATCACAATGATCCAATGAGCCATGTTGGTGAAATGCTTGTCATTTCAAGATCCTACTGTGCCAGAAAGGTCTGTTGGATAGTGATAAGATAATAAGCCGTAACCTTTACTTTGTAAATTGCTACTCAGTGATGGGGATGTTAAAGTGAAGTTGTAGTTCTGGCTGAACGGGAGGATGACCGGAGTAAGGTGTTCCCCTTCGGCGAACAGCAGTTATACGCTGTTGCTGCCATCCTGATGGGAGAGGTGGGATTAAAAAAGGTCTGACTCGAATATAGCACATCCACTACTCGGTGGTATGTGAATGCTTGCAACATGGGTTCATAGTCGGATTCGAAGGCAGCAAACCATAGTCTGAATCTTGCAAAATAGCTATATGTGACCGGCCTCAAGCAGATATCCATTGGGGTCTGTGGTCATGCATTAACCCTTCTTTTCCAGGTCCTGTGGATCTGCACTGTTTCACTCGTTCAGATAGCTCTATCCTTTTACAAATTTTAACATGAAATACTGGGGTTAAATATGATTTATCACTTAAGCCATAAATTTGTTAATAAAAATGGAAATTTCATTCTTTGACCTGTTATGTAAACAGTTCATTAAGTTCGATTTCATCGTACAAGCAATAAAATGTATTTATCTTCAGTTGGTATTCATCATGGACTGACATCATTTGGAGGACAATTGAAAAGCTGGGACCACTGGACAGCTTGTTACTCCTAATATGGAACTACTCAGCAGTGTGCTTCCATGACCCCCATCCCCATGGAGCAAACCCTGAACCTACAGGTTCCGCTTCAACTCATGAAAATCAGTATACCTAAATAATAACTCTCGGAGGAATCGTTTATTCCTGTACAGACTGCTAACAAGAATATATTCTTAAGGTTTAGCTTAAGTATTGAGAAAAGTACACGTCAAGAACCACATGTTCATCTGTAAAAAATAAACCCATTTTACATCTGTCCTTTAAGGAAAGTCAGATATTCAAAATAATAAGCAGGAAGATAACCGTGTACTGAAAAACTCTAGTGTAGACAGACAGATTTCAGTAACAGCTCTATCAACTCGTTAACCCAGTATAAAGTAAACAGCTACCTTGTTTGTTATCTTTGAATTTACACTCATCGCAATCCCACAAGTTGTCCAGCCATGAATGAATGGAACATTATGTCCCGTGCGTTCGTATAACAGCTGGAAAAAATCCTTAATGACTGAAATAAGGTTGAAACCTGATCTACTCATTAATTTCAAGTTCTCTAGATGAAATCCTGCTACAATCCAGGTTTTTAATTCACCTTCATTCAACACCGACTATGAATAACAACAGTTTTACAAATCATGACTATCTCAGGTATTCTCATTAATAATCAGTATAACTCATCCCATCTCTAATTCAGCTCGATTCAAATTGTTACAAAAAGATTAGGTTGGACAACCAGTATGATTACTATGAACGGACAATGATGTATCATAAATTAACATGTCAGTTAGATGAAACTATCCCAGGAAATCGCATTGAAAATAGGTATGGTCTGTCATACATATTACATAGTATTCAAATTTTCTATTTTGTCTACCTTTTTCACCGATTTTATCACTATTGTCTTCTCCTTTTCAAATTTTATCCTTTTTTTTGTAGCTCACTGTCAGTACTGTTTTTATACAGTTATTTTAGTTCACTAGAATTTAAAGCTATTTTGCGGATGATGATAAACAAAGAAAACTAGACAAGAAGTCAATTTTATTCATTATGTTATTTTCGTTTTGTTTTATTCAAAATAAAAAATAGTGAAAGTATTTCTAAATACAAGGTTCAGAATGATAATACAGAAATATAATCAAAGAGAAAAAAAAAGACTAAAGAGTGTGTTAGACAATTAATTTTCCACTTGTTTACTTTAATGATAATATTGAGAATAATCTGGTGTCTTCCAAACATTGAAACATTGATCTTTCAATTTAAAATGGAATGCAGTACCCGGTTCATGTGAATATGAACTCCAAAATGAACCATTCAATATCATAACATGCCATGATCTACTAAATGTCTTATCTAAAAATTCTTTAAGCCTTTTAGCAATAAATTTTGTATTATCACTTCCATGCTCTTGTAATAATGAACGTGTTTCATTGCTAACATTGATCTGTTGTGATAAAACCATATCTCCAGCTATATATTCAATATCTTTACCAAGTTTAAAGAATGTTGATTGTTGTTCAATTGTTTGTCGCCTTTGTTTATTACTAAAATCATTACAAAAATGAAGTACATTTTTAATGAGTACATTATTGTTAAATTGCTAAATTTATTGTTTACTGAACTCTATCAATGTATATGAGATGTAGACATTGGAGAACTTCCTCAGATAGTTGTACAACAGAAGCTGGGAATATTTCATGTTGTAAATAGAAATTTGGTTTCATGTTTGTTGAAAAAAAAAATTAATATATTGTCAACACTTTATAAAATCTCATGATAGCTTTTATCATAGACTAACATTATCTAGAGAACCAGTGAAAAATATCAAGAACTGGACACCTGATTAACCCTACATTAAGATTCTTCCTAAGGTTATGAACTCTAAAAATGGGGTAGGGGGGTGGGGGAACAGCTGTCCAGTGTTCTAAGGTTTCCAATGATTCTCCAGTTTATGTCCATTTACAATAGAAACTACTATGAAGTTAATAACTTTCAAGAATAACCCATTTTAGCTCATTCCAAAATGTTAAGTAATTTTATTTAAAATCAGAACATTCTGGAACAAAGAATAATAATTTTATTATTTATTTTTTGTAGTAATAAAAGTTAAAATAAGACTAAAAATGATGCAAAGTAAAAAAAAAAAAATTGATATTCTTAAATTACGAGTTTATATATGTTTAATGTAACTATATTATTTTGAATAGTCTGGTGTTTTCCAAATTGAAAAGTAATAACGATCTAGTTTGAAGTGGAAAGCAGTTCCAGGTTCATGTGAATATGAACCCCAAAATGAACTATCCACTATTGTTACATGCCATGATTTACCGAATATTTGATCTAAGAAATTTTTAAGTGTTTTACTGATAAGTTCTGTCTTATCATATCTATACTCTTCTATCAATGAACGTGTTTCATTGCTAACATTGATTTGTTGTGGTAAAGGCATATCTCCGGCAATGTATTCAACATCTTTACCAAGTTTAAAGAATGCTGATTGTTGTTCAACTGCTTGTCTCCGTTTTTCTTTGCTATAACATTTATAAAAGAGAAAATTATAATACTGTCATGATGAAAAATTGTTATATACTATACATGTGAGTACTGCCCAACTTAATGAATAAAGGAAATGCATAATTATCTTGTCTTGAAAGAACACGTTGGGAACCGGCAACTCTCGTTACCCCCTCTGTCTTCTATTAGATATATTAGAAAGCTTTGAATAGTGTACTTGAAAAAAATGAATTAAATAAGGTATTTATCTTAAACAATTAGTCCCTTTGATAAATTTGCATAGTATAATAAGAGGATGAAGGTTATCTGAGAAATGGGATGTGTTCGCTCAACCCATTTCGAACAATCTGATCACACATTAACTTGTCAAGGCATCCTATACAAAAGGTGGAAATAGGAGAGGGATGGATGCTCAAGATTTGTAGACTATGGGAATAATAAGGAAGGATAATACATTTTCATACCTCCTTTAGCATTGAAGTCAGATAAGTATTATCAAGGTAGGTTTAAGGGGTAAGGACAAAGGGTTTGAACTTTCGTATAGCTAAGGCTTCCATGAACCTAAGTATACGGTCTAGATAGTTCCTATACAAAGGTTATTTTTGGGTCAATCCTGTGACCTGTTTCTATAGTGTGTTAACCTATCGAGAAAACGAAATCTATGGTTCAAAATAAATTTCATCACTACATAGATGGTTAAGTCACGTCCCGCTGTGTATACCAACTTATTTGTGTATACGATGACATACACTGGGCGGAGTAATCGCATTATTATGTCAAGGGTGGTAGAGTATATCCCGAAATGGCTAGAAAAACAATTACATTTAAATAATCCGATAAATACACGGAGCAGACAGACGTCATCGTCGATAGGTAACCACATCATAGAAACAGGTCACAGGATTGACCCAAAAACAACCTTTAGACCATTGTATAGGAACTGTCAAGACCGTATATTTAGGTTCATTGAAGCCTTAGCTATATGAAAGTTTAAACCCTGTCTGTGTATTCAAAAACGCTTTGTCCTTCCCCCTTAAATCTACCTTAATAATACTTATCTCATATTCCTCCTTATTATCCCCATGTTTTCCAAACCTTGTATTATCCTAATTTATTTGTTTTAGCATCCCCCCCTCCTATTTCCACCTTTTATATGATATGCCTTGATAAGTTAATGTGTGATCAGATTGTTCGAAATGCATTGCGTGAATACATCCCATTTCTCAGATAACCTTCATCTTCTTATTATACTGAGGCATTCATGTTTGAAAACCCACCAATTCAGAAGGTAAGTATATACTGTCAGAAGAAGTGCTTGCATCATCCGTCTATGCCATGACCTCTTCAAAAGTATTCAATACTACTCTGATTAAGAATAATTTTCATTGGTTCCAAATTATCGACAGACTTGTACAAGATTCCATCATATTATATACCTTCGTTTTCATTGTTCAATGGATTTTCACTTCAGATTGGAAAGTATTCTGAAGCATCTTTTCCTGCTCAGAAAGATAACCCTAAATGTTTTCACAGCATATTGATTGTTCTGGTCGTTTTACTTACTCCTCTTTTTTTGAATCAATCGCTGATGTTTGGATGTCAACTTTTATGAAGTCCTCAAGGTGAATAGTCAGCGATTTGAAGTTTAACTGTTTCTCTACACATAATACAATAGGTCAACAGTTAAGTAGTTGTATTCCTAAACTGACCAATTTTATTCAATAAGAAAAAGCTTGATTCGGCGTTCTTCAGTCAACAGAATATACTTATGTCTATGTGTCTATTCACTGACAGTTAATCTAAAGGTCAAAGTTCTACAAATTATTTGCAGTCTTTGAAAGTCTGGTTGCTACAATAACAAATAAACTTATATGAATTGATATCACGTGTGTGAATTGAAAGATGTAAAATCTATAATTCACACTTTCATGTGATTCGGACTTTCTGTACCCCTAAATGTTTGATCAGTGCTGTAGATGTCTATCCTTTCAATGCACCTATTAGTCACCTACTAAAGTTAACGCGAAATGACTGGCTCCATAGGTCATTCAAGAACTCCTGAAATGACCAGTTAGGTCTAACCTAAAAGGTCCTGATGGATCATTTCAGTAGTTGCCTGCTTGGAATTGAAAGTCTTTCCTCAAGAAATGACACTAAAGGTAAAATTATCATCTACTTAAATACCCAATGAGGTTTCGGTATTTCAGCTGGTAAGGTAGTTCTTCATACATAAAAAAATGTAACTGGTTTTCTCAACTCTTTTTAGGACGACCTTCTAAGCCACTCAAATAATGCACTATGATCCATTTCACTTGAAATGTAACTGTTGTACGATCACTAATCGTACGGAATGGAATGAAGAACCAATATAAGACTGTTCACCTCAGCTATGCAGTAATACCATCCAAGGAATCTCATACAAAATGCAGTGGTTTTTTAAGATTGTTTTGGCAACAACTAGAAGGGTAATATTTTCAGTTATTATTAGAATGGCCTTTAGAGTCACTTGTAAAATATCTTTAGAAATAGATGAATATTACAGTCTACAGGGCTGGTCTGAAAATCCTCCTTTTATTTTTTCGGTCCCCTAAAGCATCTGCAACCCAAGATCTTGGAATTCTCTCTCAGCCTAAGTCATGTAAGTAAATCTTCATGTATAATGACATGTAGAAAGTGTAATGTAACCCATTAGTTAGCGGATACACATTTAGTTGAAGAAGAGGTTAGCTTATTTTGCTAATGACGCTAATTATTCCCTTTTTCTCATTTATTTCCTTCCACCTGCATTTTTCTGAATACATACTGAATTCCCTGACTTCTAAAAGATATTAAGTGGAAACATACGTGGTAGATTTGATAGTAATGATGTATAATGGCTAGAAATGGAATCCATGATGCATTTCGTCCTACTTGAGGCCCTTAAACTTCGTGTACTTGCTTCTCAGTGAGTGAGTCGGTCTCCTTAAGTCTCGAATACAAGACCGATCACGTCAAACTTCAGAGCGTTATTCACTAGATGGTGGAGTGAAGAAAGTCACTTCTGACGAGTCCTTCACAGGAAAAAACGCCAGTCCTGGGTACCATTACTATCGAATTATGGTAGACTGCCGGTAATTTCTAAAATATTATCGATAAGTTTGGAGATTTTTTTCTACAGATCTGTAGCATCTATGAGTTACAATTCGGTTTCATCAGAAATAACTAGAACCTTAGTCTGAATTGTAAGCATATTATTTACTACTTATTTCTTTTGTGATATTCATTTCGAGTGAAACTATATCCCACTAGAGCCTAGTTCAACGCTCACTAAACTGAGAAAATAACCTTGAAGAACACAGTTGATATGCATAGGTTAACTAGATAAAGGTTAAACATTTAGATTAGTCTTAACAGACATAACTAATGTGTCTCGGTTGACGAGGTAAATCCAGTTGTATGTGATGACAGCATAAGAAGAAGAACGTTGATAAATCTACCGTTGAAGCTTCGTCATCTCCTGGTCTAAATTTTACATTTAATCTTATTTGTCGAAATCAATCTCGACCCAACTGCTTTACAATCTTTTTTTCAGTACTAGGCATATAGAATCAGTATCTTCAAGTTTTACCCTACTACTACTGCCACCACTTACGTCAGCATCTCCGTTTTTCGATTTTATGAGAGTGAGGGTGGAAAACTTTGTAGCTCAAAGGAATATTTTCTCTAGTCTTTCAAATATGAACAAACTTTAGGTAGTTCAATCTTGACTAAGATTAGTGATACCAATAAAAGGACTGAAATAATGAAGAATTGACTATTCACAATAGTTGGAACTTACAATTCTTCTTTCGCGATGCCCAAGACATCTAAAAAGTTCTGCAATGTGATATAATTTTTTCCTTCTTCGGTGAATAATTTTTCCCATCTCTAAGTCAACATATAAACAAAACCATATAGAGATTGGCAATAATGAAACTTCGTACCTAACTTTACATAAATTTATGCCTCTACCAAAGAAAGAAAACTAAAACAGAAATTATTAACTGAGAGAGTGTTATCTCTTTGAATTAAGTTGAATGAAATACATCATTCGGCCTTCATATAACGTTCTAAGTTATATTGTCCTGTATCTACTGACTGAGAAATACATAAATCTAAATTTATGGCGTTTTAACGAGATTTTAACAAGGATTAGTTATTGTACATAAGAAGCTTTCCATAAAAATGTAAAAACCACCTACAGCTTCAAGGTACTCTCTGTTTAGATCTTAATGATAAAAGGGTAACTCAGAATGTACTGATATGTATTATGTTTAGCATAAAAATAGTATGTTGTTTGGTCTTCTCTATACTTAACTATTACATTGAGTTCATAAGACCATTGTTTCATGTACTGAGAAATGTGTACTCTAACACAATGGAAATTACTCAACAAGTGTTTCAAATTTTTCAAACCATGAGGAACAAACATAGTTTGAGTGTCTTTGTAAATCGCATGTCATCATAGTCATCTATCGAACATGAATACAGTCTAAAGAAACATAGTCACCAAATACATATGTCGTTTGCCAATTTTCGATTGTTCAGAATAAACCAACTTTTATTGACGGACTTATTGATACAGCTGTTTGATCAACTGACTGGTTAGTGACCATCATCATGTTGAAACTACAGTTGGACAAACCAGTATACAGTCCTGCTTGACCTAATTAACTTGATTGGTAATAACCTACACTGAACTGTGTGTAGAAGCTTGAGGACACTACGTTTCCCTTGATGATTCAGATCAGTATGACTTCCGCTTCTTAGCTGTTCCAAAGGTGATTTATCTCCTATTATACTTCATCATATGCTTTACAACACTAACCGAATGTCAATAAAACAGTCTTCTCCAGATCTCAGTATGTCAATAAATTTTCTGTACACTCCATTGAGTGAGAACATGTCGACCTCAGTTCTTCCCTTCGCTGCGTGAAATTATGCTGAGGACGGGCGTTAATCCAGTCATTCAATAACTAGAAACCGCATACAAAGTAGATAAGTAGTTATTACCTTAAAATCTGGATTTAGGTTCCCATTTGTATAACTAAACTGGTAACTTTTGCGTCGAAATTCTGTTGCTAGGTCTTTGCAAGCTGCCTATCATCTGTTTTCTTTTCAATTTTTTAGTGTCTTTTAGGGTCATGATTGAAAATAAAGAGTAAATCATCAGTCTTTCTTCAAAAAACCTTATATTATTCAGGATAAAATCAGAATAGCTGATGATAAAAGGAAGCTTTTAGAAAGTTTCAATAGAATGTCCTTATCATTTACTCTACTAAAAAGTAATTCGTGAATAGGTCAACTACTCGGAGTGGTGAGATTTATGTTGCTGAGATTTGTACCGAGTCTCTGTTGAATGAGAGTTGCTTGGAAGTTACATTGAAAGTTGAGTCGAAGCATTATCTTCCTTTCTGTCACTTAACTGCTTGTTTTTTCCAATTCTTAAACCAATCTACAGATAAAGTTTTAGGAAAGCATGAAATGAGTCGGCTTTCCTGATTATTACATTAAGTGTCCTGTTAATCCTTGATACTATCACGCAACCCTCTTGCTTACTTCATATGATAAACGCTATTACAAATAAAAGTATGTAAGTAGTAATCCGGTCAGTGATACCCTTTAACTCAATTTGTATGGCAGTGTAGTGTCATCCCTACTGCGTAGCATAGTATTTTGTTTGCCATTAGTATTTAGCTCTAGTTCATTCTTCGTTTCACATTTCAAGGGAATTCATGCTATATAGTTTACTTGGATGACAGTTGTTAAGTGATAGCTTCAGTCTGATGGATTCCAGGTGACTAACTATTGCCCAACTGACACAAAAATATCAGTTAAAGGGATAGATATATGAAAAGATGAAAAATAATATCCAGTTAAGTTAGTCCACTTAAAACAATGACACTACCTTACTCAGAAGTACACTCAAGTCAGATTTCTTCACAGTTAACTTAAAAATTGCTCTTTAAATAACCTTGATTTATTGATTTTCATATATAAAATCTTCGCATTGGAATAATAATAAAACTGTTACCAAAGTCTACAAGCCAACTTCAATCGATATATGTTAACGAAAGGTTGCTAATCACAAATAATAATAATCTGATTAGTAATATTTATGAATTATGTAGTGATTTCAGAAAGCATACCAATAATCTCTTTGAAGTTATCATATATTATGAAAAGTTTCACTAATTTACGCTAGCCATATGACGTATGCCTCTTGTAAGTCCGACTGTCTTGCATCCATCATTATTCTTATATAAGAGCAATTAATGAAAGTCATATTGTATAAATTAGTTTATACCTTTGGTTAGAATTGCCTAATTCACATAAGCAAATCTATAATTAGGCAGAGGACGAAAGTATCTATGGTGGATTGACTGATCTTTACAGATTAACCAATTTCATATAATCTAGTCCTAAGCCTTAATTGGATACTATCGAACACTTTGTAAAACAGCCCCCAGGTTAGGAGGCTTAGCATCACAGTTCACTTTGATTGATGTTAGATAGTTAGCAGAAATTGTCAGGAAATCCTAGACTTTGCTTTCGTGGCTGATACTACTCGTCAGCAAGGTGTACCTCTCAGTCCAATGAAACTGACGTCTATTTCGGTTGGAATTTCTGTGTAGATGTCAGTCCCTTCGAGGTTGAAGATACTTCTTGCTGACGAGTACCAACAAACATGAAATCTAGGTCAAACACGGCTTCCTGCAGATTTCATCCAACCATCTAACTACAACTACGATATGTTTGTTAGGGCTAATGTGTGAGGAACAAATTAATGGTTCACTGAACTAATGGTTTTCTTCTTGTAGTAATAACACGTTAATGGTACTTAACGTTCTATGATATATCCTATCTAAAATAAAGTATCACCGTTTTCTCCTTTGTTTTTTTATAGAGGATGGAATCGCAAAGATATAATAGTATGTCGGAGTAGTTTTTTAAAAAGAAAATCATGACAACTTTATTCTTTGATACCTACCCTGGATCACTGATAACTAACAGATGCCGCCACAGTATGCAAAAGTGAACATAACTGTAAGTCATAGCGGTAAAGAATTCTAGCTATCTCATGTCAAGGGTCCTAATCATTTAGAGGTATATGGCATTCATTGTTTCAGTGGATCCTATTCCGGCATTATTTCTTTTGTCTGCTCCGGGTAACAGTGGAACAAAATGAATGAATTGATAGGAAGCAATCTATTCACTTTACGCGTATTTGTCAACAGATGACACTGTCACCCAGGATAACATGGTATATAACTTAAAGACCATTTGTGCAACCCATCTATTAGTTATATACTTAATTTCATGGCAAGCGGGAGTACAAACTCGAATTCAACTTAAATTCAGCATAATAATTTCAAATAAAAAATTCTATATGAAGTTATCACTGGATTTTGAACTAAACCGCTATCAATTCTAGAGGAGTAACTGAAGTATATTCATTAGTTATGAGATATGTCTATTAAGTAGTTAAGTGATAAGGTACTTCATTGTAACTTTTAATGTCAGATGTCAAAGTCCACTGACCAACTTATGTACTTTTTTCAATGTCTTATAAATTGTCACTTGTGATATAAATAATCACTTCAGTACTTGTTGACAAAATTTCAGAGCTCTGAAAAAATATGAATCCCAGTGAGCATTGTTATGCACCTAAATAATTAGACCCAGTAAGTGAGAAACTCAGGTTAAGTTGCTTTTGTGTTAACTAACTAACTAACTAACCATGAACCCTAGATTATGTAACCTTTCATCAATATTTATCAAACTATTAAAACATAAACTTAACTTTAATTCTGAATTGAAATGCAAAGGATAATGTAAAAAATACCAAGTAATGAAAGTTAACATCATATCAACGTAATATGATACAACTGTTACCTCAATCATTAATGGATCAAGATGATTCTCTTGTGTATATTCTTCTAATTCTCTTCTTGTAATTATACCATCATAATTTGTGTCGATTTTTAAGAATATTTCGACAAAAGCGTCCATCTTCGTGTGTTATTTATGCAATGTTTTATTGTTCCTCTACTTTCTTAATATGTTTACTAAAATTGAAGGTAACAATAGAAATATTGGTTATGGTGCAGAAAACTACTCACGTTATTGAGAGTTTATATATATATATATATAATAGGCCAATTAAGGTTAATCCATTTCAGCATAACTGACAAAATCCATTCGTAGTAGTACCACTTGCAATAACCAATAGAACTAGTAGAAGGGAAACACTAGCCACAATAGTCTTATCTTATCTACATATCTCTGTAATTTGTAACCAGTAGACAACTTCAACCGTATAAATAAGGTATAACTGGACACTTTTTAATGAAATAGCAAACAAATATATGGAAGTAATAATTTGCATTTTTTAAAATTCTTTTTATTTCTCTTTTAGTCTTCCTTTCTGGTCTGTGTGTCAGTTAGAGATCTCCAACTTTATATTTATTAGTGTTTACCGCTTTATGAAAATAAAAGAATAAATAAAGCAAACCTGGTGGCTTTGAGGACAAATACTCAACGATGATATTGGGTGATGGTCGCGATATGTTTTGAACAGACAGAGGTAGGAAGTATGGACTACTGAATTCCAACCCAGTGGCTCAATAATAACATACTGACCACAGAACCTGAAGGTTCTGGGTTCGATTGATGGCGTGTGGGGTCATTGGTGAGTACCGCTAAAGAGTCCCATATCAGGATGAAACAGCTTTCCAGTGCTCCCAGGTTTCCAATATTCCTCCAAATGATGTCATTATATGATGAAAACCAGCTTGAATAATAAAGTTTCCAGTTTTATTCAATAATGACTACATCCTTTCGTTGCTATGGAATGGTCTGAGTGAGACAGTCAATGGCTAGCTAAGAGAACTCATGACCCCATACAACCAATAGGAAGAAGATAACATGCTATAAACGGCCTAGATGCATTAGACGAAATTGTAAGTTGATTATCAAACACTACTCATATCATTCAGGAGTATGTAATAACACTCCGAAAGTAAAGAATATCACAATTCATCACATGAACATTTCAATTCCCAAAAAGAAACTACAATAGATTCTCAGTTTGACTAAACACAGCTACCATATTCTCACTATCCACTGCTTTGCTTGTACACCTCACTATATGATTACAAAAATATGCGATAAAGCCGTTTTCGATATCCCTAAAAATATTAGTGTAATCCTTCTCCTGATTGATATGGTCAAATGATGATATTGTACTGAGAGTCTTGGTATTTCACACTCACACTCACATCGAGCTGATTCGTAACTATTTATTCATGATTTATATGATTTGATTTTTGAGGTTGAATTCATCACGGACCGACATGAGTTGGAGAAGTGTTGAGAATCTGGGTGTAGTTGGAAACTATTTCGTCCTAGTATGCGACTCAGCAGTGGGAGTCTATGATCCTACACCACGATAGATCTAACTGATGGCTTGTGGGTTTTATGGTGGACGCGTTGACCAATGAGCCACCGGGTCGGGTATCAGTGGTTCACAGTTTCATACTTCTGTCAATTCGTGATGTAGTGTGACCATCTATCAAGATATTCAGTTGGCATCCACTTCACTTGCATTCCGACTGGTTGATTTCACTGGTCACAGCTTCTCAACAGAACCTTGCAACCTTGGGAATAAAATTCGCATAAATCTGAAACTGGATTACTGTGTAGTGCTGACTAGTGACATGATTTGCGATGGTATCCTGAAGTTCAAACGAGAAGGCATGACCAGTGGGGTGAGCAGTAGGAGGGGAAGTGAATTGGATGCCAAACGAAGAACTTGGTGGATAGTCTCACTACGTCGGGAATTGAGAGAGACTGTGGACCACGGATACCCGATCTGGTGGCTGACTGACTTATGCGTTCGTCATGAATCTGCATATCCTGAGTTCGATGCCTGGTGGGGTCGTGAGTGCGTACTGCTGAAGATTTAAATTCTAGAATGAAACAGCTATCCGATGCTTTCAGGCTTTTATTGTTTCTCCATCTGACGTCAACCTTAATAATTATCTGCTTGACTACCATTTGTACAGAGTTTACTTTGTTTCTTAAGGTTATTCCGTGGTCGCTAAATATTTTAGGTGGTATGTGATAAATGTTTGCTTTAACCAACGTTTAATTCCCTAAGAACGATGTAGATAAACTCATAGGCTCATCAAACCTTGTACTCTTCTTATCTCAAAATTTTCAAATGATTATATCTTGAAAACACATTCCGTGATATATCAAAACCTGCATGTCTTCGAGAGTTAATAATACGGTTCAGATTATCATTCAGTAAATATACTAACTGGTCACCAAACAGAAACCTCTGAGATGTTGTCTACTCTGAATTTCTGCAGCTAGTCCTGAATTCTTGATTGTTCATATGAATAACCTAATACTGTAGTGCAGTGTATCTTTTATTGTTCGGATGAAGTCAACTACCGTTTATCCACAGGTAACTTCGTATATCAGAGATGTTACAAAATGTAGCAGATAATCATTGACATATAAGTGAATCTCAAGAGTCATATCAAGGTGTTTGGAACTTTAGCAATAGGAAGCTGACTTCTGCGAAGACTTATGATGTTGGTTGGTTGGAGGCTATCAGCAGGAAGTTGGCGATAATCAGCAAGGTGTATCTGCAGACTCAACGGAACTGATATCCAACCTGAGATTCATACCCTCGCTATTCAGTGTTGTAGTCAGCCACTTTACCATTGAACACTCTGCTCTGATTACTTTTATGTAGTACTTTAAAAGCTGTTTTCATTTCTACCCTGTGATTAGTTTCTGGTGTTTTTCGCAGTCGACGAAGATGGACGTTTGTCACATACACTCATCGGATCTGTTGAGTTCATTTGTTTTCAAGCCACTTAGTTACATGTTCAACCATCCTTAACTTCATATCACGATTACTCATTCCTATGTATATGTATCCATACGATCAGAACTCTCTAAGAGCTAAATTAGTAGATATCTTTCATGAGTTTCATAATCCTGGTCCAAGACAGAAAAGCAGCTTAACGCTTGAGCATTTTAATGAACTCAAGGGATTACGAAATAACTTTGATACTGTTATACAAAAATTCGACAAGAGATCAGTTGCGATCGTTATGAACAGGTCTAATTATAAAAGTAAGATGTTATCCATTCTTAGTAATGAAAGCAAATTTACATCAGATATCCCATCTGAATGAATGTGTAAATTGGAAGGGAGAGTAAACTCCAAACTAGTGAAAATGTTCGGCATGAATTTAATCAATAAAGATGAACTTAACTGCCTAAAACCTATGGGATCCAAATATCTATTTCTATATGGATTACCTAAAACTCCTAAACCTGACAATTCGCAGCGTCGAATATTGTCTACGTATAGATCTTGAGTCTTGTCAGAAGCCATTTATGCAAGTCCTCATTGAAAGATGTATTTGACCTTATTGACTGTATTATTATCATTATTATTATTATTATTTGTCCCTTGGGTTCCTAGTGGAACATACGGCTTCAGTAGCACGTCTCTATTCCACTCTCTTCTCTCAAATCTTTCGAACCTGGTTCCACGATAGCCCACAACCTCTCATTTCTTCCTCGCACGATCTCCTCCATGTCACCCTCGACTTAGACGCCCAACTCGCCATTTCCCATCTGGCTTTCACTCAAGTGACTGGCCTGACGAGTGATGTCCTCAGTCGGCCTTCTCAGTGTATGCCCAATCCAATCCATCTCCACTTCCTTCCACTGCATATTTGTTGAGTGGTAGGTTGTTGGTTGGTTCGTTCCCAGAGTTCCTTGTTGTTTATTCTTTCTGGCCATCTGATCTTCAGCAAGACTGTACTTGTTTGATGTAAATTCTTTATTTACTAATGTGCTATTGGCAAAAACAATTGACATTTTGTTCCACCAGATTTCTTCTAACAGTCTTATATTCTCTAGCCCTTTTCAATTTTTTAAAAGATTTATTATTATTATTATTATTATGTACTGACAAAGTTCAATTCACATTCGAGGGTGAATTTTTTCGATAGATTGATGGTGCCACGATGGGTAGTCCATTAGGATGTTGCTAGCCAATGCATACATGTCACATATTTATAATATGATTGACGATCTCATCGGAAGGGTTTCACCTGATAAAAGATATGTCAACGATGTAGTCATTATACGTGAAAAGTCTGATGATACGATGTGCCTGCTAGAGAAGATGAACACGGCTCAAAATTACATTAGCCTAGCTTGTGAACAAGTGACGAACAGTTACAGTTTTAGACATATTGTGTAATGGAAAGGGGGTTAACTCGATCAGATGGCCTACCTATAGCAACCTTACATGGACAGGTCAATATTTTAATTTCCATAGTTATTGCCCAGTCCAGTATAAACGTGGTTTAGTTAGATGCTTATTCAACAGGATAAACCACATCTACACAGATGATACCAGGGAGGAAGAAACCAACTTACTGACAATAACACTGATACAGAATGGATACCCTTTGAGATCTATCAACAGGTGCGAAAGTTATGAACCATTGAAAAGTACACAGTGTTCCGTTGCTAAGATAAATATCTACATTTCATTACCATTTAGAGGTAATTCACATAGCTTCGTTGTGAGGAAAAGACTTATATCGGCCATCTGTAAAACATATCATGCAGCCGAAGTCATCATTGTAGAGAAGACAAAGTCCATGTTGCAGTATAAACCAAAACAACATATAAACGATTACATCACATCCCACTGTGTTTATCAATTTACATGTATATGTAGGCATACATACACAGGGTGGATTAACCGTGATATGCAGTTAAGGCTGGTGGAACATGTAACTAAATGGCTTAAAAAACAAATGAACTCAACAGATCCGATGAGTGTATGTGACAAACATCCATCTTTATCGACTGCTAAACACACTAGAAGTTAAGTTTACAGGGTAGACATGAAAAACAGAATGAAACAGATTTTTCATACTCATTAGTTTCTCATACTTCATGCATCTATATCACTCAGCAATAAAGCCTATCTTGAGATAT